ACTATTGTTCTAACTGAGTCTATATATAATGATTAAAATCGGAGTAATCATTCCAACCCTATAGTCTGCAACTCTAATTATATATTATTCCTATTAGAGAGGGGGTAAAAGGCTTTTTCCACGAATACTGTCTGAGCCTCCAGTGCGGCGCCAGACATTGACTCACATTCTGTCTAGAAATATGGGCAATTTAACTTTCAACTACAGAACTATAATGATCAGACATAAACAAGGGTTCACATAAACCCTATATTGTTTAGGAAGACCTTTATTTTTTACAGTATTACGTTCTAATTACCAATAATTTGTTTAAGAATGTTTGGAAGCAAAAACAAAATGGGTATGACGTGTAGAAATAAAATAACATAGGCACTTCAAATATATTAGGGGAGAGTTGGTTATATCGTACTAGCATTTAAATCGTACCACCTCTTAATTTCCCATTTAATGAATATATTTTTTTACATTGACAACGCCAAATCGTGGCCCTGTACCATCCCTCTTCACCCACTAGTTTACATCGACGTGAGTTAACAACTGTGCACGTAATAAAAAAAAACATTTTTTGTAGGAATTAATACAAATATTGTCGTACATTCGTAAGGAGATAACTCGTAATCAAGGTAAGCTATAGTTATTCATTTTTTTTTATTATTCCACAATTGTATACTAGATTATTGGGATTTTTTGTTGTAAGTACTACCCAAGGCTAAGAACAAAAGTTATAAAAGGAAACGATCTCATTCCATCACCAGTAGCGATGATTCAGGAGAGACACTTGTTGTAGAACTAGATGATGATGATGACAGCGATGATTATCTTGAAAATATATGTCGAAAGTGCAATTGTTCTTACTATGATAAGAAGGGTCCAAAAGTTGATTGGATTCAATACGTTCGCTGTAAACGGTGGCTACATGAGACGTGTACTTCGAATTCAGACATTTGTCATGATTGTTTCCATTAAGAAATATGCACAATAATTATATTAAAAATAACATTCTTGTTAACTGTTACTTTATTATTATAGTTTACTGTTTTTTTTTGTCTCATTTCTATTAGTTATGTTGATTGATCTCATTATCATAGTATAATCATGTTATTTTACTGAGAAAGCTTATAGTTCCTTTATATGTATAACCTAAGAGTTAAAATTATGTTTCTATTACCTATTAGATATAAATAATGTTGTTTTATTACTTACCTAACAGTTAAAAATAAATAATTTGATTGAGAATTTTAACGTTTTTCATTCAGTGGTACGACTTAAACACCCATGGTACGATTTAAAGACTTAGTGGTACGATTAAAACGACTAGTCGGCTAAATCGTACCGATGGCAAGCCTCTATAAAAAAGCATTTTTAACAATGTTAGAATACTCGCAAGGATCTATTCTTTTCTTCTTAGGAAGCCAAAATATGAAACTTTATTTTACATATGTATTAATTATTATAAGACGTGTTATAGTCGAAATATTGGAGTTAAAGTGAAAAATGGTACGATATCCGACTCTCCCCTATAATTAAAACACCGAAAATATGGTTTAGTATGAATCAGATTTGAAGTGTCGGAATATATGTACATATAGAAGTATTTCGTAGTATTGAGGTCTGTCTGTAAGACTAGTTTGATCATTGCGCTGTTTGGATTTAGTATGAAAAGTGTGGGAGTTGAGAAAACAGATTTTGTTTTATTTATCTCTTTTTCGAAAAATTATCTCATATGCGGTTAGCATATAAAACAATTTTAGATACCAGTTAAACATGGAAATAATCGTTTATACTAATTTAACACTTAACATAACTGAAACCAGCTACAAGCAAGATCTTTTATTTCCCTATTTCTTATCCAAGAGATTCGGGAGGATTTTTCGTAGATGTCATTTAGTGCTAATGTCCGTTGTGGGACGAGTCGCGTACGAATTGCCACATTTACTGGCGCTGTCCGCCTCACAACAAACCTTAAATCCTGTTTTTTTGAATGAGCCAATGCATCTTAAGTGAGGAATTGTGACTCCAAATTATCCGGAGATAAATTTGTGGATTGTAATACAAATTCTTGGGTTCCTGAAATTTAAAGGGTGTTTGCACGTTTAACAATGTCTCCATGAATAATATAATATTTTATTTAACGATGCTCGAATATCTTGTATAAAATAGATTTTCAGCAGTCGATATTTGCATATTAAGTAGGACTGTTAAACTAAGGCTAAAATAACGTGCTTCAGTTAATTAAGTACCTAGATATAACAAGGATACGATGCATGTTGTCACTATGTGGATCAAAAGCTTATGCTACACGAAGTTAAAAGCTATAATCATGAAAATTTCAAACCGTATAAAATAAACGTTTACTTGCGTCATATTGACATAAAATATTTCTTAAATCTGTATATTTAATAAATAGGTGCCTTTCTGGTGTAGCAAACAAAGCGAAAAGACAACAATATGTCCTAAAAAAATAAAACTTAAGTCATAGAAACTTGTAGGAAACAGGAATAAATCTTCATATTACGTCCTAATTTACATATGTGGACACTAAGTAGCTTCATATGTTAAATAGCAGAGGTATTAGGTCCACAGGTCGCTTTGACTAACTTACCAAGAGTAATACCAGTAATGGCCTCATTTGTCGGCCTGCAAACATGTACGTATGCGAGCTCTTTCACGCCTTCATTAAGAGGCAGCCGAGTGTCCGGAAGTTGCGAACTCCTCTCCAATTCAATGGAGGCCGGTGCCAAATCGGCGCACCATTAATTGTTCATATTTGAGATGTTTCGTCCGAGAAACTGTTACTTCAATTTGTTTTCGGATTAAAAGTTCTGTGTTTTAATAGTAACTACTGTTGTATGAAAATATTTAAAGTCTATGCTATTTAACATACGCTTTTGTTTTAAACATATGAAATACAAGGTAAACATTATTTTATTCAATATTGAATTCACATAAATAAAAGAAAGTCACAACGAGAATCATAGGGTATAAATGCTAAAACTTGAGGAATGTGTTACAAAACTTATATCATAAAATCAAAAGTCTTTCTTTTCACAAATATTTTTTATGATAGAGTTATATTTATAACTACATATGTATATGTTTTTAGAATAAACAAGCTTATCGTATATGTATGTACAGTAGGGCCACAAAATACTTATCACTATGTGCTGTAATCCTATTCTCTATTAAATATCTATCATTTTAGTAATGTTTAGATTTCTTTAAAATGCTTATTTTTCAAAGGATACAAGTTTTCTTACAGTTACTTTAATATCTTTTACATAGACAGTGAAGTGAAACAAATAAAATTCATACCACAAAAACATGCTATACTTATATAAATATCGTACGGTTTCATAAATTGTGAATATTAATTATAAATATAGAACAGTTTTATCACGTCGTTAAAAACGTGTGAAAATCTCTTAAGTGTCATCGTTCTAACGTAATAGTTTGTCAAAGCTTTTAAATTTATCGACAGCCACAAAGTGAGTGCATTGAATTTTACGATCGTGAGTTTATTTGATACATTTGAATTTTATTTGCTTATATAGGCTTTTAATAGCTCAGTTACATCGGATGAATGTGAACATATTGCCTATTGTTTCGAGTAACACTAACGCTATGATTATTTACAAAGTGTTCCCTTTATTTATATGGACGGAAAAAACACGTTTTTTTTTTATTCAAACTATAATTTAATTAATATTTGTTGAGTTTTTATTCGATCATTTTGGAAAATAAAATTAGAAAAGTAATTTTACGGTCGTTAACGATGCTACGTCAAGAGCATAATCAAACTTACAAATAACGCAAAACAACCTATTATTATTATTGAACCCTATGGTATTCCTATTCTTATATTAGTTACACTACTCTAACTGATATGAAACTTAGATGAAATTATTTCTTAAATATTTTGTGTTCATCTAATTATGGCAATTCTTTTATCTTTAACGTCATTAATTTTTATGAGAAGTATTAGTTATAAATATGAGTCAGTAATTTAAATTTAATTAATAATGTAATTTATTCTTTATCATTACAATATCTTTTATGTACATTAATTGCATTGTAAGTGTTGTCCAGTTGTTTCCACTCAGGCGGCCGCGTGATTCTCGGAAAGTCTACTGTCGATGAACCTCATACAACTATGTCGATTCATGTTAATAAATAAAATTGGTTTTCCCAGTGTTTGTGACGTGTTCAATTTTTCATTCGTGTATTCTAACTTAAGTACTCACTAGTGATCAACGATTGAAAATGAAACAAACTATAAATAAATAAATGACGTAGTTTAAAATGAATATTCCCTTTTAGTTGTACAAAACTTCGAACCTTAAAAAAAGTTACGTTAAAATAGTAATAAAATATTGTGCCTGAACAAGGAAAGCTGAAGTATTACACAGAGATAAATGTGTCTGTGACTGCATTAACATAATCCAAGAGTGGCAGGAGACAAAATAAGTGATGTTATATGAGAGTAACTTCCGGACAGTACTACAAACCCGCAAATTATATGGTTGAACATTGACTACATTAGATAGATTACTGTAATCAATGTATGGAAATATTATTACCTATACACGTAAATAATAATTAGACGAAATATGTAACTTATATTTATTTTAATATAATCCAATTTTCATGGTATTCCTTCGTGTTATTATTCATAATTGGGTAATAAATAAATAAATAAATTTAAACAAAATTTTAATGTGTAGGAATTTCGTAGTAAGAATTTTCCAATGAATTTATCAAATATGAATTACTATCGATTTTTCAAAGGTTTTCTTTTATGTATATCTTAAATGATATATTTAAATGATGAAACATAGATTTATTTTAATGAGTAAACAATAGTAATGCATATGTATTACTATTCCCTATCTTATTGTTTATTCTGATGGAATTGTATCATTTTAAAATAGCACTAAATATATTCTATCTAACTTAAATATTTATGTGATCTATGTTGAATAATTTATAAAGTTTTTTGTCACTTAGTCGTAGATTTCTTGTCTCCATACTTCGAACGTTGAAACGAATACATCAATCTTGATCAGAAGTCGCGAGGGACGACACCTGCAATAATACAATATAAGTAAATAGAAATACAGAGTTCAGTTGATACGAACACTTTATATTACACAGTATTCATGTATTCCATTTTTTTTAATGTCAGTATTTCAATCAGTATCAGAGACGTTAATACGTTTAAAGCGATACGTATAGTGTTTATTAGAAAGAACGCACGTTATATATTATGCCATAAATAAAGGCTGCTGACAGTTTAACACGCAAATAACCAACATAAATTTAAACAGCTGCTTACAATGATTAAATGTCCGTTTAAATATGAATTTGAATAAAATCGGCATTCATCGGATAAATAATTTAATTAAGTTTGTTAAATCTATTCAAAAGCGGTCCCGTTCAACAAGTAGCTCTCTGTTTCAAAATCCTCAATACTTTTATATAGGAGCGACGTACAAAGTAATGAAGTGGGATTTTCCTGGGTAAGAGAATATTACTTTTTGCATCGGGCGTCAAAGAGTGGCGATCTACTTGAAGATTTTTCTTTCCGCCGATGGTCTCTGAATACGGTACCACAATGCACGGGGTTCAAAAGAGCTTGATGAATTTCCAGCGCTTTGTTTCCACTCGCTCTGCCTCGACAAGGCATTGCTTTTTAATTTAGACTATTTCGCCTCTTCTTTTTACTATGAGTATCCGTTAGTTTTTTAAGTTGATTCATCCGTATGTTTTCATAATATTATAATGGTATTGTGTTTACAAAACAAACACTAAAGAGCAACAGCGGAAAACCATACATACCTGGTTTGTACTTTGCACTAGCAATTTGCATTTTCGGACTTGTTTTAAAGTTAGATTGTACTAAATTTATTACGTTGATGGGAATTGCGGTACAATAAATAGACTTGTAACTTACTGAGTTAGGATAACTAATATTTACAATGTTTTAACTCATTAATATCATAAATTATGTAAAATATAATATTTGAATCACACATCAAAATTTATTTATTTTGATATGTTTTAAAAAACTAAGTTATAGCTTAACCGCGAACGTTTATTAAAAGTTTGAATACGGAATTTCAGATATAATCTTGAGGAAATGACGTAGCCGACGGGGACACCAATATGGAAGGTAACCTTTAAATGGTTTCTTTTTAAATATAAGAGGTGGAGAATAATGTAATTCATTGGTTGAGAGAAGTGTAACAATAAGTTTTTTTGTGTTACTAAAGAAAATAAAAGCGTTAATGCGGCTCCAATGAGAATTTACACCTTGAATGATTTTGCACTAATTTTTGTAGTATAAGAAGAGTTTAAAAGAAAATATCTTAGGCGTATTTAACTTAAACTGAGATATCGGAGCTAATAATATAACCTATATTTATTATAGGTCACTAATTTGAAAATAATAAATTATTGGACAGTAGTGTTTAATTTTTTTGTAATGAACGAATGTTATTTGTTTTTAAAATGTTGGTTAATATAAAACAAGACTTACATTTACTTACGACATAACTTATAATAAAACAACTGTGAAAAAATAATATTATATTAATTTAAAAGTGCGTGACATGCGTTGTAACATGCGTTTGTTCACATTTAATCAAGTGTTAATGATAAAAAATATGCTTCCGATTAATTCTCGAAACTGGAATGTATCATTAAAAGTGTACAATGCTCATTTCTGCAATATACGATAACGGAACCAAATGCATCCCAGTTCAATATGAAAGTAGATAATACGCGCCGACAGTAACAAGGGTTGAAAGCTACTCGCCCAACCGTGAAAATATACGCTGCACCTCGTTTTAACACTTATCATAATATTGAGAAGTCCCCGTTTATTCCTTAGTGATTTACTGCTGGGAAAATTATAAAAATTTTGCTATGGTTCTCATGATGTAAAGATGAGAAAAGGAGGGCACTGTATATACAGTATAGTATAGTTAGTATAGTGTATCAACTTGAATATTTTGCACAAAATATAAAATGTCTTTAATTAAATATTTTCCAGTTCTTATCATCTTCTCTGTAGGTATGTTCATGGAAATCAAACTTTTATATTCAAATTGTTTTGCTTGTTTCAAAAGATATTGAAAGACATTTTTATACAAAGTTTTCCTTTAATTTGTTTTTTATTTTTTTTACATATTGGTTTCAAGTATAATTATTTTTAAACTTATCAGATATATTTTATATTCTGTGTTAAACGTTTTAAAATTTTGAAGTGCTGAAGTGATGAAAAAAAAATATCTTTTTCATTTAATCTTTAGGGATACGTATGTATTTTATATACTTAATATAAATAAAAGTTTATAGATAACTAGCATTGTAGTTATAAAACAGTAGAATTTTGATTTTTCAAGCATATGTTAATTGAAGCGATTTCATTGATTCCATTGATGCAAAACCATTCACTTGAAATTAATCCTATAATTAAGATGATTGAAAACTAATAAATTATCAATCTGATTACTTCGTCTCTTGTGAATAACACACCTTCATATACATCATTTCTATTTTCAAACGGGAAACTCCATTCAACATGATAAGGAATTGTTGTATTCGTTGAGAGTTCAGCAGGTCTACGTTGTAAAAACAACAAGTTAAATCAATATTTTGAACGCGATGCTCAAAAGATCACCTGAAACGAGTTTTGTTAAACATATTTAGAAACGGTTCCTTGCATATTGTTCATTGTTGGCAGACAAGACCACACCCTCGTCAAAGTCACGCCTCATTGACCCGTCCGAATATCGACTGAGAGCCAATTTATATCATATGAATCTTGGATGTTGATGGTGCTGGAGAGTAAACTTATTGATGTTAGTACACTTATTTTCCTTTTGGGTTTGATAGCTGTTATATTATTATGATTGTTATGACATTTCATAAACACAGTTCGAAACTCAATGATTTGAGTACGATTAGTAGATTACACATCCATAATTGGTTAATAATACGAGAGAATTATAAATCGAGAGATTTCAAATACTTTTTATAATATATTTTAAATTGAAATAAAAACAAAGGAAGTAATTCAGTGTTATAAGTAAATATTCATTTTTATTTTTAAATAATATGTTTAACCACTGTTGTTTTATAACTAAGGTTGCTTTCACTGAAACATATGAACGTACTGAAACGTACGAATGAAGGATTACAAGTGTGCATAAATACTTTTATTGCAAAAATACATACTTCACTGAAGAGCCAAAACAAATAAATACGTACAATGCCAAATAGATAATCTGCTATGTACTTAGAAATATTGAAATAAGAACAGCTTTTTTATTTTATTATTATGATAAATTAAATCTTATTAGGTACATCATGTTTCCAACTTTAAAATATAAAAATATTGAAAATAATCGGTATAACATTAAAAACCGATGTTTAAAATTATTATAATGACAGTGTCACATAATAAAATCGTGGCTGGTGTTGTTATCGCCAGCAGCGGAAGATTGTTTTACTTGGAGTCTTGCCATAACGACGTAAGGAAGTACAAAGTATAAATACATTTTGCATGCCACTTAACAGTAAATACAATATATCATAGAGCCAGACAGTGCTGTGTAAAACTCTTTGAACTATGGTCGCACTTTTGTCATTCTCAAAAAGGTTTTTTTTTAAGCAAGAAAGTACTTTACCTAAGTACATACATTTACACAATGTACAACAGTTTTTATGTCCACTTGTTGGTAATTTTGAAAAACGAATTTGTCTGACAATTTGATAAATATTTTACAGTTCTCATTCTTTTAACATTATATTAAGCAACGTGTTCAAATTAAGTGTCAATTGAACCGAAGATTACTCAGTCAGTGAAATGAACTCTCATTAATTATAATTATTAATTTCCAATGAACAGAAACATACAAACATTTTTCAATGTATTTTACATAAATGTATGTACATCATAGTGTAATAACCTATAATTATAACATTGTAAATAATTGATTCTTTAATTTTACAAATATTGTTTATAAAATAGAAATGATATGTATATGTATACGTATACAGACCAAACAACAGTTACTTGTATCTTACTATCTTTTGAAAGTATACGATTTCTTAAAGATTTACAACGTTATTAAACAACGATTATTTGATAATCGAATACATAGAAATTATTATCCATTGATTTGGAAATACAATAATTTACAGTTTTAAAATCCATATAAATCGTTAGTGAACAAAAGAATAACGGAATGAACAATTTATTTTAAATCAAATCTATAATACAGCCTGTTTTCAACTAATCAAGTTTATAAGTTTAAGATAATCACTGAGGGCAATATAATATATTGAATTAATTAAAACAACGATGTCTTTTTACTATCCGTGTTCGGTGTTTGTGTTAATGAGTTGCTTTAATGATGACGTCAGACATTACTTGGTACGTGATAGCTGATAAACCTCTTGTTCGTTGAACGTGAAACTATGGCGAGATAGTGTTGATTACTTTAACATATAGTACTAAAGTTGAAAGTTAAAAGTATTTTCATAAAACATCATCTCATTAGTCGCCCAAAACTTAATTTTAAGCATACAGAAAAAATTATATAGGGATGGGCAAATATCTCTTATCTAACAATCTAAACTAGATTTAGTTTATGAATTTATAAAAATAATATTAGGAGTAGATATTTAAGATAGTACTTAATATATGTAGATCAGAAAGAACATTGTTATGTAAAGTTTAATACATAGTCATAACTTTGTTACATAATTCGATTATAATTATTATTAGGATGAACTTGTTGGGCCGTGCTGATGCAGGTTTGAGCTAAGCTAAAGTTACTCTGTATCTGCACGTGAGCGAATTGCTTAAACCCAGTGCGCTCGTGCACTCGTTCGAATTCCCGCGCCGTAGCCTTATTTCCGACGTTAATAGAGCTTTGTTCGATGACGTTGCTATACAAAATGTAGAAATTGCTCTCTTATTTTTTCTTTTTAGGATTTTCTTAATTGAAATTCGTATAGGTTCGCTCCATGTTGCCGAATATGTACTTTGACGTAACCATTATAACTATTTTCTTTTATAGTTCTTAATTAATGTTCATTATTTCACCACATGATTATAAAGTAAGAAATGAATGATTGCTAATCATGAGCTGGGAAGTCATTGAAACTGTAATACTTTAATGATTTATGTAATGGAATGTTTGTTATGTTGTTAGACAATGTTGAGAAAGTTGTTAAGAGGTGGTAGTGTTGCGTTGTGATGCGGAGGGATAGCGACGGCATCAGCGTCGTCGGAGCACCGTCGTCGTCGGAGGCGTGCCCCGGCGGGCCAATGGGGCGCCCCCGCACGCCGCCCCGCCCGCGATCCAACACCCAGCTCGCCAGTAGGTTTGTGTCCTTTTGGCTGACCGCATGACTCCGTATCTCGCTTCGTCGCCGTACTCGTTGTAACTCGAACGGCACGCGCTTCACGAGCTTGCGCCAGGGACTAGTGAACTAGTTAAGGAGCTAAGTTGCGTGCGCTGTGAGGAGACGGTGTGGAGACGCTGCCAGGTACTGTGTCCACGCTGCCGTCCCGCGCCCTTCCCGCGTCACACCGCCACACCGCCTCGCCGCCACCAAGGCGACAGACACGCGCTCCTTATCAATGACTCATCGTATGCCAAAATTCACCCCCTGTTTCCCTGTCTGGTAACCTTGATCATGGGCAAAGTTATAATATGTCATTGTACTCTGGCGTTGGATTCATTCGTAGATGTTGACATATTGTACCTTTTAAAATAAATCATTATTATTCTGACACATATTCGTCACCACTTTAAAGTTCCCGAATCCTCATACGACACTAGTTACCAGATGTAGAGTAAACTAAGACATCATTTTAAACATATAATTTCCTTCATATGACACTTAAAAACAATACAACACCTACAAGGCGTACTTTTAGCAACAAATATTCAGTTACTAAATTCACTAATTAACAATAAAAAGACACGAAAGGCTTCATATTCGTATGTATGTATGTGTATTGAAAAAGACGAGTAAATATCGAATGACAAAAATACCTTTGAAATATATGTATCAATATGAGCGGTTTGGAACACGTGAGATGGCCAAAGATATTTATAAATGGAACCCAATATTTCAAAAAGCTAAAGTCAACGAATGCAAAGTTTGCCAGAACTAACCAAACTATACTCTATGAGAGTTCACTACAGGCACAGAAAATCAATGCTATTTGAGCCTAAAAAATATCATAGAGATGTAGGATTTTCGAAATAAGTATAACAATTTCTGTTTCATCGCCTCGAAACACGGCCAGACAAATTAAAGAACATTTTTCCGAGCTCTCACTTCCACTTAAAGCCTTCGCGAGCCCCATAAAACTTAACTACACGCCGTAACCGCGACTAATTATTAGGGTGGGTTTACATAACGTATTTATGAGCTTGAGATTTAACGCGAACCGCGCTCTCGGGTGGTCTGTTATCGTGCTATTAAAAAGTTGTACTCTGAGGAACACTAAATAACATAATATGAAGCTTTATTGCTTATTCGACGTTTTGCTAATGTGCAAAACGCTAATTTATGTTATTTATGATGGTAAAAATGGTAAACTCTTTGCAGTATGAAAAGAATAATACGAATAAATAACTTAAATACCACCGCGTTTTTTAAATAATATTTTAAAAACCCAAGTGATATGTTTTCTCTTTATTTAAATAAAAACAATAAGACATTATACGACCCTCCTTATCCTTCACATAACATGGAAAGTTTGGAATAATTAAAAATATATAATTGACTCAATCGAGTACGCTCTGAATTAAATGTCATCAAATATATGACAGAGGTAATACAATAGTTAAAACGATACCGTCTCATAAAATTCATATTGATCTTTAAGCTATACTAAGCTAAGCTAGGATGTAAAATGAAAAACGTCGCGCGGTTTAAAGTTTTCCAGCAATATTAAAGTAGCAAAATTTGATATAGGACTAATATAAAGGATCCAAGTTACACGCGGGCCGGTGAGATTGCTCTACGGGACGGCTACACGACGCCACTTTCAAACTTCAGATGTTTACACACCGCTCCGACTATCATCCCGCTAATTTCTGTATTTACGACAGTTCCTTTGATACTTAATAAGAAAAACTTTCTTATCTCCCTTGATAAACTTCTCCGACGAGATTAGACACGTGATGTCTATGAAGATATCTATTTTTATTCGAAGAATTTATTTCTTGGATGAAGAAAATTTTTCAGCAGGATGAATACGATAAAAATTTCTCAGCTAATTTGATTCGTTGAAGATAACGAGTTCCGTACACGAACGATCTAATTGGGCCAGCAGATTGTGCCGTACCTATATTAACATTTCATATAAATCTTCTCTATCATGATGATTATATATTGTTTCGATTCTATATAATAATTTTGATTGTAACACATAATAGCTATTTTTAGAAATAATCTAAATTCTGTATTTCAAGTAACTAGGACGGCGCCAGTCTGTCTGGGTGATCTCCATATCTGGCAAATAAGCTAATTTCTGTGAAATATAGAGCCGATAGCCTTTATGGTACGTTTTGTTAGATCATTCATGAGTTATCTTTTATTCACGGCAAATGGCTTTCTTGGAGAATAGATTACAATTCTTTTGTGCGAGTAAGTGGTGTATGTATAAGAATGATACTTTATAGAGTATGTAATAGCACATATGTAACTTTAATTCTTAAAGCAACGTATACTTCAATTTTACTTACCACTAAGTTAAAGCCACGAAAATAGAAAAACTAATACTTAATCCGTAAAGAACAAAGTTCTGAAGATTTTAATGAAATTCCTGTCGAGACATGTTAAAAATAAAAATAAAGTAATAAAAATAGATAACAATTAAATTAATTATTCCTACTGGTAGCCTCGACCCGACGTAGGGTCGGCAATTAATGACTATTTATAACTGTAAGTGTTATAACATAGCAAATAAAAACTAGTGCTTTCACAATTTGAATTTTGTAATGATGATTTAATATCGCATTAGTCTGATTACTTACAGAAGTTGTGAATGCAATAGAATATTGTGGTAAATGGTTTTTATTTCTTTAAAATAAATATAAGATTTTTATTGTAACTAAGAAATCAAATCATGGTATAATTATCTTACTCAAATAATATATTTAACTGATTATTTTGGCCTTGAAACTATGTTCGTGACCTCGAATTTATTAACTATTCAGAGCTTAATCCCATTTTGACAAAGCAGTATATAAGTAGAGTCGGGTATTCGAAGGTTTTCTTAAATATTTCGTTATAAGCCTACTTAACTTTGGTTAAGTTTGGGGTCAGTAGTCGCCACTAATTTGGCTAAAACAATCTAATCAATAGTTTAATTCGCTTAAGTGCCGATTTTTCTTAGCGAGGTTACATAAAAACCCTAATGTGTTAAACGATATTAAAGATGTATATTTCTGATCACAGGGAAATAGAGTGTAACTCTCTTGTTTTTATGAGAAAATAAAATAAATGTCCACTCATTATGATTACACAGAATATAACGCTCTTTCGCAGTTTTAGCAAGCGATCAATATTGTGACTTATATAAATCGGGGTTAGGTGAATGGAAAATTGTCGATTTGTTTTCTTTCAGAGTCGATTGACGGCGACAAAAAGCATTTTTATTTACAAGCCAAGCTGGCACGTCAGCTAATGGACGAACGATGCTCTGCAGACCGGTTTATCACGATCACAATAAATCGAGACTTAAGCGAGAACACCCCATTCTTACACTCGACAGTTTGGACAATGACCATAGTCTTGAGATAGTTCAGTATTTGATAATGTACACGTGCGCTGAATTAATAAACCTTATTAAAATTAATATTACACAAATATTAACATTGATTATAGCCAAATGTCTAAAATACTATAAAAACATAAATTCAATCATACTATCGAAAAATAATTGAAACAAAAATTAAAGAGTATGTAAATTAAAGCAAAATAAGAGCTTCAAGTACAAAATTTTAATTAAGGAGAGAAGAGCGAAATAGCTCCTCATAGCAGCTATGCGCGGCACAATTCCCACGTGCATGCGATCTATTTCAATCTTTCCACATTAATAGAATTTTAATTTCAATTTCACACACAACGGCGCACGCGGATTACGACACCGCTTTAGAGTCGAGTCGAGTGAATTTTTCCGATCGGCCCGACAACTCTAGCGTGGAAATTTTGATGGGCCATTATTACACAGTCCGTTTGAAGCATATTGTACTCCATATTCCTTATTACAAATGGATGTTATGTTGCGATTTAACGTTCGTGCATACGTTGTACGTAATGGGGGAGAGGCGCTCGAATCTTTCTAGTTAGTACGCCAACTCCTTGACGTTCTCAGGTCATCAAATGTCACTTCAACAACTACCTATACAGCAAAGCCGTAACTCTGTTAAGCTTACATCACGATAACGACACGCGACACGTTACGTTCGCTGCATCCGGGATAATGGCTTTGAAACTCACCTGGAAACGCGTTCAGCCCGTTTTATATTTCATAGCTCTGCTGTGCTGTAGCCACTGCATCCAATTAACTTCAGTTGTCCGCTGCACCGTTTGTAATGCGCGGTGAAATATCGAGGGCTTGATGAGTGCCGCCTGCCATGCCACTGCGCTCTCACTTTGTCTTTATGACCTCATGTTAGCTTACTATTATTCAATGAATTATGCAATACACTGACCAACCAATTAATAAAACTTGGTACATGTTGTTGGTATTTCCATTTCGGAGTGACGTTGAATAATTACTATCCATTATCTATATTTATCATGAGTACACGAAAATTGTTAATATTAGAAAAATACAAATAAAACTAAGAAAGTCGAGTGTTATGGCTTTGCTATCGGAAAAATCAAACCAATTGTGCAAATGGAAAAATATCTATAGGAAAAATATAATAATATGAAATGTTATTATGTTACTGTACTGTTCTAAATCACTAATAAATATGTTTTTGTTGACATTGCTTACGACTTTCGTTAGTGATATTTCTTCATTATCTGTAATGTAAACTAGATAGGACGGAACGGAGCGAAATAAAAATACGTAACATTCACATACGAAATAGAATCTTCTTTACCGTTGCGAAGAATTTCAGTTTTGTGATCTGTAGTGAATATCGAGTTGCAATGCCATCAATCTGTAAGTGAATCTCCAGCGAGCACGACACAGCTGCAACTGATATCACCTGACGATGTCGTTTGTATCCGTCCGACTAGGATTAGGCCTCGATGCAAATCGATGAAATAAACTCACGCATGCTGATTCACATCAATATGCTATATGGCCAATATGGCATCTAAGGCGAATTGCTTTTGGCATTGATATCCAACCTGTATTGTAACAGAGATGTTATGTAATTATAACTTAATTTCCACTTTTGTACTATTTTATATAATATTAGAATCCGTTTTTCCAATACA